CGCACACTTCTGCGCAGGCGAGAAGGAAGCGATAGAAGGAATGTTAGTGAGGAGTACAAACCCCCCCCCCGGGGGGAGGGGGAGGGCGGTGAGAGAGGGGGAGGGGGAGGGCGGTGAGAGAGGGGGAGGGAAAGAACGCAGGGGTGCTGCGTGTAAGGGTCACTGGAGAGGGATGCCATTATTGAAAACTATACTGTTAAACCTGTGAGCAAAGGTCATTGAGGGGAATGTCTAAAGATCTCTGTTATGCGAAACTACAAAGTGAAATCACACACTGAGTAAATAGACTACGCATCTGTTAACGACCGCGCAGTATGTCTATTCGTGTGTGTGTGTGCGTGTGTGTGTGTGTGTGTGTGTGTGTGTGTGCGTGTGTGTGTGTGCGTGTGCGTGTGTGTGCGCGGGCGTGTGTGTGTGTGTGTGTGTGTGAGTGGCGAGTATGTATGCATGGCGTTGTGCCGTGCGCGTGTGTTGTGGTATGGTGCGTACATGACGTACCCAGTGCTGTGTGTATGTGTGTCTGTGTGCGGTGCGCGTGCGTGTGTATGTGTGTATGTGTGTATGTGTGTATGATGTGTAACGTGACGTACCAGAGCTGGGCTGAGAGCTCGTAGCTGTTCATCGAGAGAATTTTCTTGTGTGTCCGCCGCCTTCGTTACGGCGATGCTTCAAGGCTCCTGCTTAGTCTGGCAAGCATAATCATATTAATATATTATTAGTAACGAACACATTATTAAGTATCAATACTTAATACTTCATTTACCTAGTACTTAATAAATTAAATACATAGTAGCTTAATACTTCATTACTTAATACTTTCATACTTAATACTCGTAGGTACTTAATACTTCATACTTAATACGGTCTCTTGATTATATACACACATATATATATATATATATATATAATAATATATATATATATATATATACATCAATATCCTGCAACATGCACACGCATACATGCACACCAAGCGCATGCACGCCAGGCAGGGGTGGGGGGGCAGGGGGGAGGGAGTATATTCACGACACACAACACACACGCCACGCACACACACACCACGCACGCACACACACACACATCGCATCGGCACACAAACACCGGCACACACACACATACAATGACACGCGCCACCAGCAAACGCACAACATCACACACACACAACGCAGCACACACACACACAGCACACACACACACACACGCACACACACACCACATACCAACGCACACAGCACACACACACACAATACATACATCACGCACGGCCGACAACACAACCTACACGCACGACACACCACACCACGCACACATTATATTATTCTTTACCCTAACCACGGAATCCCATAACACAGGTTGTCTGTCCGACACACACACCTAACAGTAACACATAACACAGCTTGTCTGTCCGACCTACACACCTAACAGCAGGTGTGTGATTCTGAACAGTAACAATGACAACAACGAGACAGACACGCACATAATCTGTTTTCTAACGAGACCCACAGACAGGCACGACACCCTGAGACACCGAGCCTGCGCGTGGACACACGAATGAGAAAGAACGAGAGCTCTACCGTACAGGGTAACAATAATTTGATCGGCTTACCACTGTTGTGGTACGAACGCTGTCGTAGTAAGAACACGGGCCACGCAAACGACAAAAAACCGCAGCAAGCATCAAGAAAGATTAGCGGTTACTGAGTTTGAGAACTCGAAATTTTTCGCTCTCCAGAACATACCAGTTTCTATTGAATAACAGTAGCTAGTCTTGCGCGGTGGGGGGTCAGGGTTAGGTCTGCAGGCCTACATGGCATTCTTAATCACGCTCAACGGACGGATTAATACGAGAATTCATATATGAAACATTCTTAGAGTGTGAGCACACACGGAGTTGGATGCACTCTCTGGTGTTTATGACACTCTCTGTTACATATGTGACACGCTCGTGATTGTGACACATTCTGCTACACGTGACAACGCTTTAACGTGGCGACAGATAAAAGAAAACACTCGTCACCACTGCGGAGGCCAGTTTAAGTTAGATTTTCAAAGAACCGTGTTCACAAGATCTGGCCGGCGTGTTCAAGATAGAAAATCAGTTGGCACCAAACATGTCACGGAAAGAAAAAAAGAAAGAAGTGAGTACGAAGAGGTAGTACGTTACAGTAGTAAGTATGAGCAGGTAAGTATGTAGTAGAGGAGTATGAGAGGTCAGTATGTAGTAGAGATAAGTATGAGAGGTAGCTAATGTTACGTAGAGTAACAGTATGAGAGGCTAGCCATTATTCAACTTCCAGGGCCAGGCGGAAATGAATCAAACGTTAAACGAGACATAGAAAGCAAACGATCCATACATAAAGTTTACATGAATCGGTTTTGCCAAGACTCTTCTATATATATGTCTAAGAGTGAGGGTAACATATATCATCGACACGAGTAAAATACATACGATGATCAGCAAGTGCGCAGCTGTATATGTAGATGAAGATGAAGATGAAGATCGTAGCAATGCATCAGATCTTATATAGATATAGATACAGATATACAAATATAGATATTACAAGATACATGATACAGATATAGAATTATGGAGATACAGATATAAATAATAGGATTAAATAGATATACGATACAGATATAGATATCAGCATATAAAATAGATATAGATATCAGATACAGAATAATAGAACGAGATACGAGAATATCAAGATAGAAAATAGATATATAGATAGAGATATGATAGATACGATTGATAGATAGATAGGTAGATAGATATATATATTATATATATATATATATATAGATAGATAGATAGATAGATAGATAGATAGATAGATTGATTGATTGTATGAGTGGGTTGGCAGGTAAAAGGACATAAAGACGGACAGACGCAGACAAACAAACAGACAACGCACACGTAGATGAATTACATCCAATTTAATTCAACCGACACTCGAAGCGATAGGATGGAATGAATGATGAAACCCCTACAACCACTGGCCACCTACTCCTCTTTATAATGAACCGTTCCCAATCAGCCGTAGTCATCGATAAATCACTAACAGCGTCTAGCGATCGTTAAAACAACTATGTATCTATCTATCCATTCACACGCACATACACATCTATCTATCTCAGCTGTGAGCGAACCACTGAGAAACACACACGCTCGAGCGTGAGCAACTAATCTTAGCAATTACTTCTTTTCGCTAGCAGGCTGCCAACTGGCGGATGAGAGACAGACATGTGTGAAACATTTAATCCGAACATATGTCTTGCCTTACGGGAGTGGGAGGGGAGGGGAGGGGAGTGGGAGGGGAGGGGAGGGAAGGACATACCCCACCTACACCCCATCGAGTGGAAGACTAAATGTTAACTTAACGTGAATCTTAATTTTACGTAAAATCACAGTGACGACTGAGAGTGAAGAACGAGGACGGCAGACGAATTCCATTGTCTTCCCCTGTCCCCACGAGCGGCAGTGAAGTCATAATGTTTCCCCCGAGAGATATCACCCTGCCTTTCATCCTGACCCCCCACCCCCCAGTAGAAGAGTTCTTGCGTCCGAACATGCTAACTTTGGGCCTTGCAACAACAACGTATCGGGCTCTAGTAACAGCAGCAGCAGCAGCAGTAGCAGCAGCAGTAGCAGCCCTCATCTACCAGCCTCGCATCTGTTCACGCATGCAGCAGCAGTAGCCGCAGCAGCAGCAGCTAGTGACAGACAGATAGATCGGAATACAGATAGAGAGAAAGAGAGAGAGTGTT